AGTGCTTACTCAAAAAATCAATAGAACAATGAAAAAGAGGAAGATGTAGCTATTTTTAGATGCAGAGAAATTTAGTGGACATATCAACCAAATGAAGTATGAATGTTTTCCTGAAAAGAACAATTAGTTTTATTTATTGGACGGAGGTATTGACTGGCAGGTAACATACAGGATATGCTTATGCAGTGGAGAAATGGGTCTGTTTTAGAGCTTATTGAATTTAAAGTCTTCTTTATTCTGAAAACTTTTGATAGTTTATGATGGATGAAAACAGACCTGAAGCTATGTTTGGGAAAGAGCTGGAGTGAGCCAAATTACTCTGTAAAATGGAGCAATGTAAGTATGCTTACTGGTAGTGCAATATAGGATGGTGAGGCTTGAAGGCAAGTGAGATAGGAAAGATGGAAAGACCAACCTGTGAAATGGAGAGAGGTGAGGTGTTGCATGTGGTAGAACACCTGAGGCACCCTCTGTAGTGATAGAGCAGTTTCAAAGAACTTGGAGGGTGTAGGGAATCTCTGCTTTAATATGAAGTTCTTTGTATTTCTGGAATGTAACTTCACATACCTCTGTCCAAGTCTTTAATAAAATCTATCAAAGGCCTTGCATGCATGGTGTAGATTGAGGAGGGATCCAGCCCGGAGTCTGCCCTGGTAAAGTATAGAAATGGAGCAGGCATTATGTATGTAGGCTGACCACTTATTAGAAGCTGGAGTCAGAACGAAGGAATAATGGGGAGACACTGTGTGAGCCTACAGGGACAGACCAATTGAGCCAAATAGATCACTTAGGGCTAAAACTGAGGCAAACACTGGAATTAGGACATTGACATATTTACACAAACTGGACAGTGATGTATGCCATTTTTGTAGAGTATATACACTCAAAGGCATTAAAATATGAATGTAGATACAACATCTAGTACCATAAATCCATTTGACATAATCAAGTAAAAAATTTAAGAGAACTAAAGCTGTGTCCATAGTTTATACTATGAAACATTTACTTGTATGCTGAGAAGAGGATTGCTCCCAGATTTTTATAATAATTATATTTTGGGGATAGAATTTCATTTTCTTTAAAATTTTTGTACTTTTACAAGTTTTCATTAACTGAAAACCTTAACTATAAAACTAGAAACCTTAGCTATGAAACTAGAAAAACTAGAAACCTTAGTTATGAAACTAGAAAAAATAGCCAAAAGCTAGTCTGACATTTTAGAAAACAGGACTGAATTTTTTTCATGCTACATTGAGTCAATGGGGAAAAGTGAAGGGCACAAATAGTTTCATTTAATTTTTATATTTCCATAAAAGCAATATTTTTGAATATAAAGAAAATAGACTGATATTCATATTTTAGTTTTTGTTATTGGAAGCAACAGAGCTTAGTAAAGAGTCTTTTATGTGTGATTAAAAATTAAGGAGCAAAAAGCTTCAAGTAACATTTTCCTTCAAAGGTCAAGACTACCAAAAATCATATTGGGTGTGGTGGCATACACTAGTAATCTCAGCACTCAGGCTGAGGCAAGAAAGTTGTCAGGACACTGTGACCAGCCTGGGCTTCACAGGGAGTACCCAAACAGCCAGAGCAAGACCCTGCCTCAAAAAAACCAGAGACTAAACATCAGAGCTACATGGTCTTCAGGCTCTTTCCAGACATCAACAGAGTAATTATGCTTCAGGCAGTGAGAGCCTAGATTACTCAGATATGGAGTTATGAGAATGAGGAACCAGAGTTAAGTCCTGGGACAGTCCAGATTCCAAGAAAGGTAGACCATGCTTCATGAGAAAAAAGACCATGTTGCTCAGATTCCTGAAGCCCTTTCCTGGAGCAGTGTTAGAAGGCATCTTCAAACATGACACGACTCAGAGGCTCTGAGGCTCTTCCCAGTACTGAGTGGCATGGCTTGCTTTTCATGCAAGAACCTATGTAATTTACAAACTAGTAAGGGGAAAGAAAAGCTTGAGGTGGTGTTGGATAGGCATGTCCTCTGAAAGAACTAGCAACAGCTGAATGTCTGAACCCTAAGACACTCAGCAGAAAGGGAGAAAGACAGTCACCCCTCCCACCCAATCAGTCAGCTTCAATTGCATGAAGGGGAGGGTGTATGGACAGACAGGGAGGAAGCTGGGGAGGCAGCGGGAAGTCTGCCATCTTGGCTGGGGCACTGGTGGCTGAGGATCTAGGAAGCTTGGCTGAGATGTAGGGAAAAAAGCCCATGGGTACATGCCTTTGTAAGTAACACTCTTCCTGACATCATAAGCTCTGTATGAAAACCCGAATACATTGTGTCGGTTTTGTTATGTGCCTCATTGGTCACAGTGGGAGCCAAGAGTGTGTGCAGCACGAGCCTCCCAGAAGAGAATTTGGCTTTACAGGAGGTGCAGCCTGACCACTCACCCACCTGAATCTGGAGCACAGCCAGGTCAGCGTCCAGGGCCGTCTTGGTTGGCAGTAACTTCTGCGTCACACAGATCTGTCTTTTCTTCTCAGCAATCTTCAGTTTCAGGAATCGGATCTTTTCTTCCAGGACGTGTATTTCGATTTCCCCATTTAGTTTCATCTTCTCTTGTATATTTATTTTTTCATAAAAAATGCACACTTCTTCTTCCCGCTCTATCAGTTGAACACCACTGTGTCAAATTCAGAGGAAGAATCTGAGGGGGTGTTGAGGCCTCTGTCTTTCTTAGTTACTGTGGTTCCCCCTGGATTTGGGCTCAAAATATACATCAACAGAACATAATTCCAGAAGACAGTGATATTTGTAGGGGATTTCTGAGTAAACTATACATACTGGACTTTTTCTGGTACAAGAGGGCTTAGCACATCTACTTGGAGGCTGACCACTGGCCACAGTGGCTTAGTAAATCCCAAAGATTTGCTGGGGTGGGAAAGAATGCCATTCCCAATGCATGAACAAAATGACACTAAAGCCTGATTTTCTGCTGACCCTTTTTTGGGACAGACTTACCAATCAAGGCCTGGCCAGAAGCCACCAGGCAGGGCACCAGTGAGTGTATTTCTAGAGTGAGTCTGCTCTATATAAGTTGGCAGGCTCATTATGTTTTTTGACTATTGAATGTTTCTGTTGCTGGTTTCCCCATAATCTGCCCTTTGTAACCATACTGGTAGGTTTGGGTGGGAAGACCCCTCCTTGAGAGGAAATCATTGAAAAGAAACAAAGAGAGAATTTTCTATCACAGGCAGTTTTGGTTTAACCAGGGCCTGGTTTGACCTGTGCCAGGAACCAAATAGGATTTATTTTAACCCAGAAAACCTACCCATCAGCCCTTTGGAAAAGCGCTACTTCTCAAGGACCCAAAGATCTTCCCACACCATTTGCATACCCACGACCCCAAAGCGGCATCTTTGTTTCTAAGTCTCTGCTTCCTCCCTCCAGTCATGTGCACATGGTTGTATCTGACTAACCTTAGCTCTCTCTTTTGCCTCATTTTTCCATCAAAGGCTGTCCTGATGGTCAAGTTCCCTTGACAACAAAAACCAGCACTAGTGCTTTACCGCCTTGTACCCTCTGGCCCAACATGCCAATGTTTTACATGGAACAGCACATAAATTTCATGAAATTTGAATTACTACAGGCTCTACAGTCCCACATTACAATTTCTTGGAACACAAGCAACCGTGGGGAGACTACTAAACCAGTAAAATGCTTACTAACATTCTTACAGCCTGGAAGAAATAAGAAATAAGGCTACTACTCGTCAAGGTCTTAGTTACTTCTGGGGAAAATGAACTTGGAGAATGGGTCGATAAATAGAAGACCAAAGTGGACAGGCTTCCAAAAACTTACGTCAGTTAATGCAGAAAGAACTCAGGGCCTGAGAGAAGTCTTTGATCTTCAAATGTCCCAAACCCTCCTCTGTGTTTCTCTTCCATAGACAGCTAGGCCTTGTTTTCAGGCAAAACACACAGCTCCCTCCCAAGGCTAAGGAAACCTGAATGTCGTCTGTCCCTGTTACTCACCTGTCAAGTCTAGAGGGATAAAGGGTGGTATTTCTCCATGGGATCCCTGGCACTCTTCCCTCACTGTGCCCCCAGTCCTTACCTCTCATTTCTCCGCTGGACAGCTTTCTCATACTTTTTGCGGAGCTGCACCATCTCTTCTTCGATCAAGGTTAACATGCTGGCTAATCTGTCCATGCTGTTTAACTGCGCTTCCTTCTTCTCCTTCATTTCTTGGAGTTTTGCTGTGATTTTGCGCACATCATTTTGCATGCTCTCTCTGATGGTTACGTTGTTGGAGTGTTTCAGCATAGCGTTTTGCAGTTTTCTTTTAAAATAATGGGACAATAGGGAGAGATGGTTATTTTCTTTACAAACAGTGAAGATGTTGGAAACAGTGTTAAGCAGTACTTCCTGAAGTGACCATTGTACAGTAATGGTCCTCACTACATAATGCCTTCAGGACTTAGTATCACCTCCTCTGTTACAGATCCTCCCTCAGGTCAGATGAGGGACACTGCCACTATGAGCACTGTTGTGCCATCCTCTTTTGTGAAAGTATGAGACTGGAGTCATTCATTGCCTCTCAGGAGACTGTGTTCTAAGGATGGAGGCAGAGGCAGGTGAATATCTATGAGACTGAGGCCAGCCTGGTCCACATAGTGAGTTCCAGGCAGGCTAGGACTAGGGAGACCCTGTCAAAGAAAAACAATAACAATAACAACAACAACAACAACAACAACAAAAGTCCTACAAAGTAAGGACAAAGATTATGTACAAAGAAAGCAAGTCCAGAGAGATAAGTCAGTTTGCCCAAGGTCCCACAGCTAGCAAGTGGCTGTGAACTGAGTCTAGAAAGCTGTTGTTTTTAACCACTCTACTGTGCTGCCTCCCACAAGCACATCACAGGCTTGAAATCTACAAGCAAGAGATGCTACCTAATAAATAACTTGTTTTCTAACTTTAAATGCATTAGGAAGAAATGTAGATTTCTTCCTAATGGAGCAAATGAAAACCAATAAATCATCATAGTAAAATAGTTTTATATAAAGGTTTGCATTCATTAAAGAATATGGCTCCTAGTAGAAACATAAGCAAGTGTGTTCAGGGGCCCGGGTTTTTATCTGTGAAGCAGTGTTTAAGTAGGTTTTCACTCTCAAAGACTTCCTCTCTAGTTCATAATCTCTAGGATAGTCTAGATAGTCAGGGATCTTCTAGGCATTCCAAGATAGCCTAGAGTTCCAATGGGACAGAATAAACGCTTGGAAAGGACAACGGTCACCATGACTCTTACCTTTCTTGAGAAACTGTACTGTTTCTTAAAATTTCCAGTTCATTTAATGACATTTTATGTCTTTCTTTTATTTCATTTACTTTCTGATGAGCTTTGTGAAGTAGGTTAACAAACTTATTTCTTTCATTTCTAATTGTGTCATACAATTTAGCAAACTCTTTGAGTCTGTGAAAATATAAAGTGATTTTTGAAACTTGGAAAATAAAATCCCCCCCCCATTGACTAGATGAATAGATAAATATTCATGGAATTCTTTTACCTCCGATGAATTTCACGTTTTTTCTTCTTGAATAGTCTGATTTCCAAATCTTTTGCTTTCATTTCCTTAATAACATCAGTATATTTTTGCTGAAACGTGAAAATGATGTATGAAATAAAGAAAAATAATCAGAAAGCTGGTTGTGCTGGCTCATGCCCGGAGCATGGCCATGGCTTCCCCTTCCCTTAGTCATCCTCTTCTCGTCAGCCTCTTTTCCAATTCATGACAGACCATGGTCTTTCCCTCTTTTTCCTATGGGAATCCACTTAGCTCATGGGCTCTATCGGGCTTTCACAATGTCAGTCAGACCGTTTAACATGGGTGAGTGGTCCTCACCATCTGACCTCTGTTTTGTCATTGACATCCGTTTCTTCTCTCTGTCAATCATGCTGAACTCCTTCCTCACTTCTCAAATGTCAAGGTGTTTGATTAAACAGTGAAAGAGGACTTGAAGAGCTTGGCCATCGCTATGGGTTGTCTGATTCAGATCTTTGTCCTCAAATCTTCTCTACAAAATCTATTGATCTCAATACTTATCAATGCTCTGATATATGTGAGTACTTTCTGGGGACTGAGAGAAAATTATATCCCATGTAAACACTCAGAATGAGACCAAAGGTTGCACTTATAAATACCAATGCCTGGGTCATATAAATGCATAAATTCTACTTCAGTAATAGGTCATATCGTATTTTTTAAATTTTATTTGCTTTGTTTAGTTTTTTGAGACAGGAACTCACTATGTAGCTCAGGCTAGACTTGAACTTGCCTGTGTCCATCATGCACACTTTTGGGGGAGTCAGGAGATCAAATCCAGGGCCTTGCACATTCTAGGCAAGCACTCTAACATTGAGCTGTATCTCCAGCCTATATTTACTTAACAAAGAATTTCTGGGCATAGTCCTTATGTTGAACAACTGACTCCAATGTTAAACTTTTGGCTACTATGTACATGTACCACTTTGTAGGAGTCAGAGGAATTCATGGGATGAAGCAGTAGCTAAGAGCATCCTGTATGGGTTTCAGTGATGCTCATCTCATGTACTTGCTGTATGTGCTGCTCTTAAGTTGTTCCAAGGCAAACCACCATGGATTCTCTCTGTAGTCCATGCAGTTGGCAGAACTGGCCAGTAGAGATGCCTACCTCATTACTGCTGAAATCACCATCCCTTGGTCACTGTGATTGAGCCTTCATTTGTTTGTTTTTTTAACCTCTAGACTGCTGACTATTGATAACTGAATCCTGGAATGTTTTTCCAGTGTATGATTGAGTATTGTTTAGGGCAAATTTATAGTCACTTGGATTTGAAGGAGAGTATACTCACTGCTTTCAAATTGATGATGCCTTAAAATGAGACTCCCTTGAACTCTGTAGTAATTAATGGCTATAAAAATGTAGTTACCTGGGCTTTCAGGAAATCCTTGGACATTTGTTCTTTTTCATCAATTTTGATTTGAGTCATCCGGCTGAGGTTGAACAACAAGTTGCGCATATTGTCTTGCTCCTTTAAAAGCCTGTTTTCTTCTGAAATTTGCTGTTCTACTAGCTTTCCCTCTGCTTCTGATAGAATTTTCTTTTGAAAAACATGAGAATTGTTATTTATTTTTTGAAGGAGCACAGTAAAGTTAGTGCAATGCGCTATGTTTTCATTTCCTTTATAAAAATTCAAATAGTATATCTACTATCTTTGCTCAAGTTTTTTCCCTTTATTTTATAAATGATGCAAACTAGTGGGTTAATATAACAGAAATTTTTCTTACTATGTTTTCAAGTGGTTATAAAAAGAAATGTAAAAGTATGCTTTAAAATTTGAAACTATACACTGATTAAATAAAATATTGTCAAATTTTAATGCAATCCCTTTCATTTAAAAATCTCAATAGTTTGTATAAGTTTTGTCATTTCAAACACATCTTTTTTTTTCTAAAAAAAATAGAATGAACTTTTAGGTGAGCATTTTAGGAAGTGTTGTTCAGTGGTAGAACATTTGGCTAGCATGCGTAAGGCCCTGAGTTTAATCCTCAGTACTCCCCCATCACAAAAAAGAAATATGCCTGTTTTAAACAGGGTGATAGTCTCTTTTTTTAAAAAAAATATTTTATTTATTATTTTTGTTTTATGTGTATGAGTGTATTGCCTGCATGTGTGTAAGTGCACTCGTGTCACGCAAAGCCCACTCAGGTCAGAAGAGGTGTTGGATTCCCTTGGAACTGGAGTTATGGACAGTTATTAGCCACCATGTGGGTGCTGGGACTCGAACCCGAGTCTTCTGCAAGAGTAGTCATTGCTCTCAACTGCTGAGCCATCTTTCCAGCCTGTGATAGTCTCTTTGACAGCACATTTTTACTTCAAAATTAATACATATTAATAGCATATATTATGTATGTGAATTTCACTGTGACAATTCCATACAGACATATGATAGTGTCTACCGCTCCCCACCCCTTTCCCATACCAGTCCCTAGCAGGATGACTCCCTTATTGATGTGGTTTTGTGGAGGATTTTAAAAACACAACCCTGTTAACCATTCTGAGGGAGAAACATGAGTGAGTGCGGTATTAACCTGTTGGGTCAAATTTCTCTTTGCTACTTCAACTTCCTTTTGGAGCTCTTTCCTTCTCTCAGGCAATAAAAGGTCATCCTTAGGGATAGCTTCAATCTGGAAATCAAAATTTAAATAGGTTCTTACAAAGATGTTCAATGCCATGTAGCCAACCCCACAACATACTTTTTGAAAACAGAAGACAAATCATGATTCCTAATCTTACAGGAACTTCCTAGTCTAATTATTCTTTATAAAGTTATAGCTAACTAAAATACAAAGATCTGTCAAAATAAATGATTCATTAGCTATGACTTTTATCCTTTAGAAATAAATCTTGATAGCTAACATTTATTGAGCATTGAATATGTGGCAAGAGTCTAAGGACTTAGATATGTGATCTTATTTATTCCTCACACATGTCATGAAGTGTCCAGCTGTTCAGATGAAAAGAATGAAATACGAACATCCTCTCCCACAGGTGGGTTTACAGTAGGCTGTCCTTCATGCTCTGCACCCAAGGGCCAGAGAATTTGCAAATAAATATTATCTGGGACTCAGAAAGCATGTAAGAATTGACAGAAAATCAGGAGGGTTTACTTACCAGCTACTTTATCAACTAAAAAGTCCCAATACATTTTCCTGGTTTAAGGTCTCAGACATTTGGATTCTTTCCACTGTTTTGAAGTATAAAAAAATACCGCCATGAATTGCATTCAATTTTGATTTCTGGCTAGTGCTCCCATGATACTTTTTTTTAGTTGTGAGTCTGAGTCTTTAATGGCTAAGCCAGCTCTCCAAGCTTCTGATACATACACACACACACACACCCTTTATTAACTTTCTTCTTTGATAATTTAATACGTGTATATAATACGTTCTGGTTAAATTCTCTATAAAACTCAGCCCTCCAGTTTCTGCAGAATTACATATCATGGTTTGTGGAAAAAGTTAACAAGGTGAGCAATTGGCAGGAGAACTGAATGGATGCCTAGTGGATATCTATTTTGACCTTATTAGCAGAACTTCAGCATTGCTCCAAGTTGTGTATCCAGTCTTCAGACTTCTTTGCAATAGAGGGTGACTGTTAAAGCCAGGATGAGCCAATGAAATGGAAGTCTCCTAGGTAGAGCTCCTGGGAAAGTGACTATTTCCATGTTAAAAAGACAGAGCCAGCCAAGCCAGTTATAACTTCTTGTGGACCAGTCATTTGGTGACCATGGAGAAGAGATACAGTAAGGATGACCAAAAGACATTGAAAGAATTCTAGACTTTTTGTGGTGTAAATTTTACTTGATATACCTATGTCTGAGCTTTATATTATGCAAATAAAATGCCCCCTCACCCTATTTAGTAAAGCTACAATAATTTTCTCTTACTTGTAGAATCCAAATTGTAAGCCTAACTAGCATATCTTTTAAAAGGAAATCTTCTGACAGTAATCTTGAAAATAGGCTGGAGTCAGGTTGAAGTCTCCATTGAGGTGGAAGAAAAATCAAAACATCTATCAAGTACCAAAGTTCTAATTATATGGTCTAAAGTGACTTGAGATATTTGTGATTTACTTAGAGGTTAAAATTGCGTGCATCAGCAAGTTTTATAAGGTTATATTTTTTAGTTCTTAGGTTTTTTTTTTTTTTTTTTTTTTTTTGGTCTTTTTGAGACAGGGTTCCCCTGCAGCCCCACCTGGCCTGGAACTCACCATGTAGACGAGGCTGGCCTTGAACTCACAGAGATCCTCCTGCCCCTACCTCCCAAGTGCTGGGACTACAGGTGTGCACCACCACACCTGGCTATTAGGTTTGTTTTTATTTCATATTTTTAAAAAACTTATTATTTTTATTCTATGTGTAGGAGTTGTATTGCCTACATGTATGTAAGTGCACCCATGTTACACAATGCCTGTGGAAGTCAGAAGAGGGTGTCAGATCCCCTGGAATGGTTGTTAGTCACCATGTGGGTGCTGGGAATCGAACCCAGGTCCTCTGCAAGAGCAGCCAGTGCTCTTAACTACCAAGCCATCTCTCCAGCCCCTTTATTTCATGTTTAAAACATGTGTTTATCATAACCAAACAATAGAAATGTGTAAAATGAAAACACGCCGCCCACCCCCTCTGCTGCCAGTGCTCCCCCAGAAGTTGCTGTTAATTGTTTTGATAGCGGTTCTTCCAGATATTGTCAATGCATGAAAAATCATCCATAACTTTCATAAGATCAAAAAAATTAGACATTCTGTTGCAGTACACATCCTGGTTATTTGATATAGTGAACTTCAGTATAAAGTGTAATACTTTGACAGTTTTCTAAAGTTTTCCAAACGTTAGTGAGGCTGTGTCTTGAGTTTCTGAGAGGGTCTCTCTATATACTCAAATGCCACAGGACAATAAAAACAAAACAAAACAAAACAAAACCTCTCTCTGGGGGAAATCTAAAGCCCAGCTGGAGCCTGTGTGTCCACTGTGACACCTTTCCTTTTGGGACTGCCATGACATGGCCAATGAGAGTGGCTGGCCTGACTCTCCCTGTTTTCAAGTGTTGCCAGATATGGGCAGTGACCAGGAGAGGCCATCAGGTCAAAGGGGAACTTAAATGCCTTGCTGAAATTGTAGGAAAAGGGCAATAATAGATTTTTTTCCTTGCAATCAATAAAGGAAGAGGATTTTAATGCATTTAAAATTTTTAGTTTTATATTCTATGGGGGATGCCAAATGTGGTGGCCCACACCTTTAATCCCAGCACTGGGAGGCAGAGGTTGATGTTCTATGAAATTGTTGATGTTGAACTGAGCACTAAGGCCTAACTGTGAGACCCAGACCAGCCTGGTCTACTTTTCAAGTTCCAGGCCAGCTGGGTTACAGGGAGACTCTGTCTCAAACAAACAAACAAACAAACAAATAAACAAACAAACAAACAATCACAATGATATTGAACTAACCAAGACAACTAACCAATGTCTTCAGTCTGAGGGAAATTATTTCTGATCTAAAATGCTACTTCCATTAAATATTATCTATGTTGCTAGTGAAAGGAAATATTTTTCTAACATGCACTTTTCTGAAACACAAGTTATCTTGCCTTCTTGTTTTCTCAGGAAGCTACTAGAAGGCACGTTTTCTCTAAAATAGGGTGTGATCCAAGAGAGAAAAAAGAGATGTGTGGAACCATGGATCCAACACAGAGGAGTGGAGAAGAGCATCACAGAGATGATGCAGTAAGGGTCCCAGGATGGGAGTGAAGTGGGAAGCACACAGAGAAGGCAGGCCAGAGGCTGAGCCTGAGCTGGCCTGGCACTCACAGCTAGGCCCTGGTGTTCTGTTCAACATCAACAATTTCACAGAACATTGACTTCAGACAAAGCCACTCTGTGATTAGAATGGATGAAGACAAAAGAAAGACCACTCCATAATTGTGTTTGAATAAAAACAAAAACATGAACATTGTCTAAGCCACAAAAATGCCATCCATTCTTCACTTACAGCCTTTTCTTTTTTAACCAATTATAGCTTTCCTCCATCTGTTATTTTCTCCTCCTATTATAAGCTAAGATTCATTAAGACAGTCAGTCAATGAAGGAAGAGGATCTTAATGCATTTAAAATTTTTAGTTTTATATTCTATGGGTGATTCTGGGTGTGGAGGTGCATGTGTTTAATCCCAGCACTTGAAAGGCAGAGGTAGGCAGATATACATCCTCCAAATATATACCACAAACCCAAATGCTGTGATTCCTTTCTAATGCTCTCTACTTTGACTTCCCACAGTTCCTCGTGGTGTGTTCTCCCTTGCTGAAATATGTAGGAAACCAGGGTGCCAGGTTGTAGTGTGAGATGAGCCTAAAACTTTTAAGTCCAGGCTGCATTCTCTGCTAAAGGGAGGGGCACCGAAAACAGTAGCTCTGATAATCCCTATCTTGTAGAACCTTGTGAGACTGGTAGGAGAAAGTGGCCTATTCATAAGTACAGGCTCCCTGTTCTGAGGGAAAGCATCTTGGTCAACAACCCTCAGCTCATCTCCCTGTCCTGAACAAATAACTCAGCTATTATTAGCTAAGAGATTAGGCCAGGTTAAAGGCTTATTCCTGAGCTAAAAAGCTAAAAGTTGACCATGCTTTTAACTCTAAGAAAGAATACACTGTGGCCAATAAATTGCCAGATGGGCATTAATAACCTTGAATAAAGGTTTAAGCATCCTTCTGGTGCCAACTTACAGACTGTATGTCCTGTTTCTTTGTTCCCTAAACCTTTCTGTGTGACTGCCATACCCCACGTGACTGCCAGTTCCTTACGATGTATAAAAATCATCTGAATTTTATAATAACCTTGTGTGAAGGAAACCAAGTTCCAGAGTTGTTACTTTGTCACAGATCAAGTCTCTCTGCCCTGAAACCAGTAGGTCCCCCGCTGAGCAAAGCAAACTGGAGCCCCGACAGAAATGTGTAATAAATTCAGCTCATTCAACTACAAGTGTGCTCCTGTTGGTCTCTAGCTGAACATCACTGATGAGGCTCAGAAGTCATTTTTTTCAAGAATATTAAATGAATAGACCATCAAATGTGATTTAATTACTGAGGAAATTTGTGAAGTTGGAGAAGAGTTTGGAGTTACATTAATGTATATGCCAAAAATATACAAATCAAGATGTTTACAAATTCCCAGAAACATGCAATTTTTTAGAAAAGGCAATTGTGCATTTAATATATGATTCAGATATGTAGAGACCTAACATTGTTCATAACAATGTAAGTACAAAATTCTGAATTAGTTAAAATTACAACAAGAGAATATTTGCTGTATGGAGAAGCAAAAGATGTGTGCTGTGAACAGGGGTCCAAAACAGGATCAGTCTCCAAATTGAAAACTCAAGCAGTTGAGCTACAAGCATGTTACATGTTATATATGGTATGAAGCAATTTCAAAAGATGTAGCTGAGGGAATAGCACTGAATCAGGAAAATGACTGGATTAAGAACTTTTTTCACAGCATTCAGTTTCAGAGTTCTTTACACCATGTAGAGTCACTATAGGAGCTGATGCCAATGAATTGAACTGATTCTTGGGACTAGGGGCATTTTGTCTTATTTAGACCATATGATCTCTATGATTCCTTCTGATCCTTTCATTCTATGACTATGTGAAATAAGGACTCACTGACTGTCTTGACACATTAATGTGTCCCTTAAGAATATCTATTTTGGGGACTGGAGAGATGGCTCAGCACTTAAGAGCACTGACTGTTCTTGCAGAAGACCCAGGCTCGAATCCCAGGACCCACATGGCAGCTAACAACTGTCTGTAAATCCAATTCCAGGGGCTCCAACAGCCTTTTCTGTCCTCCGTGGGCATTGCATGACATGGGTGAACTTACCTACATGCAGGCATAACACTCATACACATAAAATAAAAACAATAAATAAAATATTTTTTAAAAAAGAGTATCAATTTGTAGCAAAATGGAGGATGGATTAGACAGGGAATGAGCAGGCCCTACAGAGAAGCTGGCAGTTGTACAGTAATGAGTGTGAACACAGACATTCCTGAGGCTCAGCAATGGGGCCTGGTAATGCAGTCTACACAGAAATAAGTTTGCCATAATTACAGTCCTACCCTAACTTTAAAATTCTCTTCAGTCTCTCAAAAGCTCATTTTATAAAGGAGAGAAAGCAGTATTTACTGAGTGTCTTCTTGCATATTTGTAATTACTTTTATTATTTGTAATAATCTCAAATTCAAAGGTTTGGAAACAGCACAGGGAAAAATTCTATGGATCTAGGAGGCAAACCTGACTGCCTGACTCAGGGCGATCCTGAGCACATATTCTACCAAGGCCTCTCCTATACCTGTGCATGCTTAGCCCCAAGGAGGGAAAAGTCCACAAAGTGACTGTGTCTTTGGGGTATTTGGTCCCAGAATTCTCATAGGTTTTTAATAAATGTATGATTTTTATCTTATTATTTTTAATTTTTTCTGGCTGCTTATTACAACACAACATTGCAACAATGCAACAGAACAAGCATAGTTGCATTGAGCATTAATTCTATTTGTGTGTCCCTTCAATGTCACTTGAGCCAGATTTTCTGGCAGAGGTACATGTAAGTCTGTTCAGTGTCACCTTTTCAAACCAATCTTGTGACTTTTAGCAACACATAATCATCATTTTTTGAAACCGCTAAAAATTACTACTTTAGGTGATAAATTATCTTACTGTTTCTATTTAGGTCATCTAACTCTACAATTTAAAAATATTTTGCTTATTATTTTTATTTTATATGTATGTGTGTATTGCCTGCATGTAAGTGAGGCTGTGTCGCTCAATGCCTGTGGTGGACAGAAAAGGGCATCGGATCCTCTGGAACTGGAGTTATGAATGGTTGTTAGCTTTGTTGTTTCACCATAACAAAACTTTAACAGGTTGACTTTAGTAAGATCACCAAAAATTGTCTAGAAAAAACAATGAAACTTCTATCATTAAAAAAAAATCTTACAGATTAGCTATTGGGTCAACAACAGGGATTGTTTCCATAATGCAAGCTATAGTTTTTGGTTTTAAGAGGCTCCTATTCATCACATTTAGGTTTCCACCAGGGCTTTGAACAAATATAGTCTATTTACTATAAACCTCTCTATGACTAAGGTGCAGTGGCCACAGGGTCTGTATTTGTTCAGAGTTCTAACTTAACAATCTGATGTGCTGCGCTCTGGACTGAGAAGATAGCTTGCAATAAACAAATTTTTTAATAAGAACGACATACAAAGTTACATTAAAAGTATTTTTGGAGGAATTAGTTACAAAGGTAAATAGAGTTAAAGTCTTCAAAGATTCTAGAACTACCTGGGAAATAGTATTCATCTATTCTGGACTTTACAAAGTCAAGGATGACTATTTTCCTCCTTGTGGTCAGTACCCAAAGAATAGAGAGAATGCATACAAACCAGTGAGTATCTAAAGTGGGGAAACCAGAGCAATGAAAACATAAAATAAACGAAGGAAACAAAGGGGAGAAAATGGAACACAAACAGGTGGGACAAAAAGAAAGAAACAGTACTATCCTAAGTCCAATTATATCCATAATTGCACTCAATCTCAGTATTTGGACTACACACAAGAATGAAAAGACATATATTCTCAGACCAGATATTGAAAAATATGTGTGGTATATGAAACATATAAATAAGGACACAGAGAGACTGAAAGTAAATGGAAAGGATACACTACTCAATTTAACAACAAAAAATTAATGTTGTTAATTTTACTTCATTAATATCAGGCAATATAAACTCTTTAAGCATTTATTTTTAAATTATGTGTATTTATATGTATGTGTGTGGGTGTCTATGTGTGGATATGTACATGTGAATGCAGGTGTCCATAGAGGGCAGAGGTTTTGGATGCCCCTGGAGCTGGAGTCACAGGCAGTTGTGAGCCACCTGACATGGGTGCTGGGAACCGAGCTCAGGTCTTCCACAAGAGCAATAAGTGCTCTTAACATCTGAGCCATCTCTGTAGTCCCCAGTATAAACTCTTAGGGCAAAAAGCTTTACTAGAGTTAAAGTAATTGCAGAGAGATGAAAATCAATCTACCTGTTAGTACTGTAATAAAATTATCAAAAGTCTAAGAAACATAAATAATGGTTCTCTCTTTTTTTTTCAAAATCATAAATAAAAACACATTTTGTCTCATTGGCACAGGGGAGGGATTATGAGTGTTTCCTGGCAGCAAGACCAAGTTCTAGTCATTTCTAATACTCATATTGTTGCCTTTTACACATTGTATAAGGTTGGTTTTCGGTCAGGACCAGCTAAGTTACACTGCAGAAATAAAGAATCCCAAATATCATAACTCTAAACCATGAAGGTTGTTTCTACCAATGCCTGTGGCCAGTTAAGATGACTCTACAAGACTTAAATTTTTTAAAATTAATTTAAAAGTTACTTTTATTTTATGTGTGTGTGTTTTGTCGACATGTATGTAAGTGCACCTGTGCATACACCGTCCATGGAGGCCAGAGGAAGGCATTGGATCCCCTGGAACTGGAGTTATGGAAGGTTGTTAGCTGCCATGTTGATGCTGGAAACTGAATCTAGGTGTTCTGGAAGGGCAGCCAGTGCTCTATACTGCTGAGCCATCTCTCCAGCCCCTCTTCCAGACTTCTGTTAGCTCAGTATTCCTGGTCTCTCCCACCTTATGCACCTCCATTTCATCACATCCTTCTATAGTTACCACAGGAAAGGGGGAAAACACCAGAAGGGTCTCACACTGGCTATTAGATGCTTTAAGCTAAAAGTGACATTTCACTTTTCCCCACATTAACTGGCCTGAACTAGTTAAGTGGCCCTGCTTAACTGCAAAGGGTGCAAGAAAATATAAACTTTGCATGTGTTCAGGAGAACCAGGCATAGGTCAGCTTCAGATATGTCTACCACAGTTGGAAATGCCTCTTAAAATTTCTGAGGGCATGAACCTCCCAGTCCTGGAGCATGACAGTTCTGAAGAGAATGGGTCCTCTCAGCTATCTGGTCTCAGAGATCTGGTCCTATTGTTACCAAAGAATGCACGAACATGGCCTTCAGCATAAGGAGGCAGCCCTCTCAAGGATGCTCTGCCCTTCCAGGAGCACTGGGTCCTTTAGCAAGTGTGAGGGGTGCTGTCTGAGAGTTGAGACTCAGGGGCAGCAGGCCCAAACCACGCAGCTCTTGGAACACCGAGGTAGTAATACCTTGAAATAATTAATTATTTCAGTCATGAATCCATCTGACTGGAATCCACCTCTGATGTTGAACAAAATCAGCCAGGCAGCCCAACAATAGGTTCTGGATTGCCCTTATCTAGTTGACCAACTGGCCATAAACATTTGTTCAATTTGGACCTGCTCCTTAACTGCTAGATCCAACTCTTTTTAAATTAAGGATAGCGATAGGCTCAGCTCTATGCATAGCGAATTCTCTAGCTCTTCCGCAACTGGCAAGTCCAATTACTTGTCTAGCCAGGATAATGCCTGATCAAAACAAAACATTTGGCTAGCCTTGGGCTAGAAAAAGATAATAGGACTATCAACACTCTAAGAGGCTGATGCTTCGGAAAACTGCCACTCACTGTCACTGATTTTTTTTTTCCTCTTCTACCGAGAGCAAAACCAAAATATTTTTACTTCCATAGAAAAGATGGCTTGTTTTTTTCACACCCACCTCTAGTAGAAGACTTTGATGCAAGGCTTGAGTCTGAGTGAGCGCATCACAGGACACTTTTAAGAGCAGCTCTGTCTTCTTCAAATTTCGAAAATCTCGTTCTTTCTCTCTTTGCTTACGGGAAAGTTCATCATGGTAGTTCTGCTTGTCGATGAGACAGTTTCGTAGATTGAGATCCAATATTCCTCTGTCCAGGTAAAGGGAGAAAATGAAAGTGACTTTTCATCCATACTTTCACATGGTTTTCTAAGTCAATTAAATAGAGCATGCTCAGTATACTCACAGATTTCCCACATCAGAATCCTAAGTCAGAAGTAACGCCCAAAGCAACCAGTTTTGTGTGTTGGTATCATTTAGAACTGAAATTTTATAAAACTCCAAAATATAATGACAGATTGATAGAGACACAAGTCCCCAGTTTCCTTGAAATTTTACTTAAAGGTAGGAAGTAGGGTTGGAGAGCTCCTGACTAGCTGAGGTGAGTTACCCAAATCCCACTGCCCCCATCCAGCCGCTCTGGGAGCATCTCTAGTCCAGCTTTTCCAGAGCTCAGGCCTTCTCTGCTAGCTACTAAGAGTCAGACCTTTTTGTTCCCATCTTCTCTCCTTGGGCCTTGGTTCTGTCCTCCTGAGGCTGCCAGAGAGCATCTGATTAGCTGGGAGAGATAGCCAGATCCTGTCATGCAGGGTCACCATTCCCTTGCTTTGTGACCAGCCCCAGTAGCTTGGCTCCTGGGCTCATGCCTTCTTTGCTTAGCTACTTAGAACAGGCCCAGCTGATATCCGTCACCTCGACTCGGGCCTGGGCTCCTTCACCCTCCTGGAAAGGTCCTGACTAACCTGACTGGATCCATCTGATATAGTCCCTCCAAAAAAAAAAAAAAATCAAGAAAGAACCTGAAGTCCAGACCAACTAATTATTCATACTGGATCAGAAAGCAATCAAGCTACATTAACAAAGTAAGCAGAATCAAATGTCAATTCAACAAAGCAGGCTTGAGTTTCAAACCACAATCACAAGCAACAAAAGAAATCAAACCACATTGAAAAAATACAAATAATATTAAAAATCAAAATATGTTCTCATCAAACTGTACCGGTCCTACAGAAGTGCTCTAAAGTGAGAACTACCCAGAGGAACCCCAGGACAGAGATTTAAAAGATCAATGATAAACATGTTCAAAGAGTTCAATGAATTTATAGAACATACAACGAACTCAAAGAACTCAAAAAGAATAGAGATAAACCTCTGAAACTCATGCATAAAAAGATGAGTGTGTAGCACCCACTTGCATTCCCATGGCTGGGAAGGTAGAGACAGTCAGATCTCTGGAGCCATCCTAGCCTAGTTAGCAAGTGTCAGGTCCTAGTGGGACGCCCTGTCTCAAAAGATAAGGTGGATGGTATCTGAGGCTGATCCCTGTTCTCAGGTGCACAGATATGTGTACACACACACACACACACACACACACACACACACACACACACACACAAAGTCAGAAGCAAAATGCTCCAGGATGGAATCCCACCATGAAATCTCTCCTGTCAGGAAAAAGATGAGGTTATGTCAGAAATCCACTCATTTGTGACAAATCCCTGAACTGCCATAGCACATTCCATTGATATAATTTTCTGTAATCATACAGTGGCTTTTATCCTTAAATCCAGAGAATTAAAGAAATTATGATTAAAGAATAGGAAAAGTACTCCAAAATTATTTGCTAGCATATTTTTAAATTTTTTTATGTGTATGTGTGTATTGCCTGCATGTAGGTAAGTGCACCCATGTTGTGCAATGCCTGTGGAGGTCAGAAGAGGCTGTTGGATCCCCTGGGACTGGAGTTACTGACAGCTGTTAGTTGCCATGCGGGTGCTGGGATTCGAACCCGGGTCTTCTGCAAGAACAACCAGTGTTCTTAACTGCTGAGCCATCTCTCCAGCCTGCTAGCATATTTTTAATTAATGGTAAAATTGATAAAATCTATAAAGTCCTATTATATCAATATAAAATCAGTTGATGATGTTTTGAATTTTCAAAGCTTCACTGATTAACATTTTAGATGACAGAATGCACAAGAATATAAGTAACCTTTCAGCTAGTGAGGAAGCTTCATTTTCTTTGGTTAATTCCAATAGTTTATTTAGCTGGTTGTACTCTTGTTCCCTGACTTCGAGTAAGGCCCGCTTGCTCTCGACCTCTTTTATTACATCGTCCTTCTCCTCTACCACAGCATTAACTTTGTTTTCAAATTTCTTTAAAGATTCATTTAGCTCTTTGACTTCATAGTCCAAGACAATATTTTTCTTTTCCATATCTCTGTAGGGGAGAGAGAGAGGGAGGCAGGGAGGGAGAGAGAAAGATAGAAGAGTTTTATTTTGAGCTTATGCATGCTTATGCTCTACCTATTATTGGGCAAAAACAATAGTCATAAATTCAATGATCTTAGAAGTATGTGAAGGTCAAAGATGAGAGGACCCCAGAGGGTGTGATGGTTAGCTTTGTCAACTTGATATAACTTAGAATTATATGAGAAGACAGTCTCAATGACAGACTGTCTGTATTGGGCTGACTTGTGGGTGTGTCTGTGGGGGATTGTCTTAATTAAGTTTAATTGATGTGGGAAGACCCAGCTACTGTGTGTGAGTGGCACAGCTCCTTAGCGAGGGGGTCCTGAACTGTGCAAGAGTGGAGGCATCGATCTGAGTACAAGCAAGCCAGCAGGAGAGCATGCACGCCTTGGTTTCTCTGTTCTTGACCATGGATGTGCTATGACTAATTGTTGGATATTCCTGCCTTGACTTCCTCACAGTGATGGACTGTTACCTGGGTTATAAACTGAAATAAACTCCTTTCTCTTTTAAGTTCGTTTTTGTCAGGGTATTTTACCACAGCAAGAGAAATGAAACGAGGACAGAGGGTAACTTCCCATCGTACCCCTGAAGACAGGCATAGTCACCTTGCTTCTCTCCTAAACCCTGACTGCTGCCACCTGCTATGTCTCTACCCTCATCTTGGCTAGCTTCCTGGACCTGACCTAATTTCTCAACTTTGGATCTGGTGAGCTTGGTTTTTAGAATCATCACTGCTTCATTTTCCCTTCTTTTTTTTAAGATCAGTCACCAGAGCAATCATATTATTTTTCCAGAGTATTTTATATTTATTAATTTTTTTCTTTTTGATCATTGAAGTCCTGAGAATATCTCAGTGATCTCCATACCCAAATCAACTCTGGGGGTGAGCAGGTGGCAAAACTGTCGTTCAGCTGCTGGCTGGCTCCATACACTTCAGGACTCTGAAATTCTATAGCTCTGTTAAAGGCACTGCAGTTCTCCATACAAATATGATTTACAAGTTGGAAACAGAATCTTGACTCACAATTAATGATTACAACTTGCTGTACTATTTTTAAGACCTTGATATATATATATATTCCCTCCTACTTCACTTGTTGGGCCACCTTGCTCCCAAGCAATATACACATACATACATCTATCTATCTATCTATCTATCTATCTATCTATCTATCTATCTATCTACAATTTCCCACACAGGGTCAAGAATGGATATTTTTAAAATTACAATTTCTAAAAATTATAATATTTACATATTATTTGGGCAAGGGTGGGCTTGGAGGGATTCAGAATGAAAGTATTAAATCGTACATTTTTTTGCGTGTTATTTTTTCTATCTCTTTTGCAATTTGTACAGGAATAGTTTGATGGTAGACCACATCATCCTGGAAAAGAAATACAGCCATGTTTAATCATGCAGTCAGTTAAGACAAATAAATAAGAGAGGGAAAAGAAAATTTTGTAAGATTGTTATTGTCTACCTTATATACTATATTCTACCCACTATTCATGCTGACTTAAAAAATAGTTATATTTGTTATTATTTTAAAGAGGAGGTAATAGAATGGAATAACTACTAGGATTCCCTTTTCTCCTGGGATGGGGGAGATGGAAAGAAGTAGGGAGGATGCTGTGACCGGTAGCTAGCTGATGTGATGAGATAGGAGCCCATGCCCCTTGGTTCTGGGGAATAGCCTGTGTGGTACAATTCAAGATCTAGGGTTCTGTCCAGGGTCAGGCTGAGACTAGAAGAGAAACTGTTTTGGTTTAGCTCCTTCCCTAGCTCCATCCTGCTGCCCTCCATTCCCTATAGGGTTTTCCTGAGAGCTTGCCTTTATTAAGTGCCTTAGATGCTGCTCCTAGGGAGTCCTGCCTAAGACTGTGCCAGGAGAGACTAAATCATGTTCAAGGCCAAGATCAGAAGTTAAGTTCGGAACCCCAGTTTCTGCCAGATGTATGGATTCCTGGACAATTCAGTTTAAGCATCATGGAAGGGGTTTTGGAAGAGCCCCTTGTCTGTGGATCTCACTGGATTTTGAGGCCTGGAGTTACATGTGAGTATGAGAATTGAAGACAGTGCTACACTGGGAGGTGGAATGCTTCTCCTTGGGTTATTGGTCCATCTTGGAGCAGATCCAGATTCTGTAAGGCTGAATCTTATGCAGTTTGAGAGTCTCTCTTCAAGTGAAAAAACTCAAACTCCAAATTAGGTACGAGACCTGGGAAGAGAGTGATGAAGTGATGGGCTTGAAGCCCACACAAGCTACAAGGGGCTCCTGGTAAAGTGCATCTCTGCTTGTTTCTTATATTGCAGGGAGCACCTGGGCATGTGCTGACCAACTACTCCAAGATTCTTAAGAGGTCAGAGTAAATCATAATTGTTCTCCAAGCCAATGAATCTTCAGTGGTGTTTCTTAAATAGCTCTAGGCTCTTCAAATTGTTTTGAGCATTATCATACATTTTTCAAAGCAAGATTAACTTTAATTAATCATTTCCTAAAACAAAAATATAGGCTCCTTGTCACTTTTACAGTCAAAGGAAGTTAGAGTAGAATCAAACAGACAAGGCAAGGTGTACAAAGGGACACAGAGGCCAGATACTTGGTTGCTCTGAAGAATCATTTGTGCCTGTGACACTTCAAATATTGAAAAAATACTTGGAGGCCTAGTATCCCCAGGCCTAGGGATTCAAATGAACAGTACTCTCAAACACGCTTATAGCTTTTGTAAATGAGTTTACGTTGAGGCTATAGATTACTTCACAACGCACAGCATTCCAGTTTGGGTGACAGTAGCCCTCTCTGTCAAAGTGATAACCTTGATCCCCTATGCATTCTTGCACATACATAGACATGAGATTTAAATATTCATGAATTGTCCATATCATACCTTTAGGCCAACCTGAAATTCCAACAATTCTTGTAGTTCTTTCTGCTCCTTTAATAATAGCTTTTGCTTCGATGTCAAATCTTCTCGTAAGTTTTTAATTTCCAATTTTTTCTGCACTGTTTCCGTACATAATTCTTCAGTGGTTTCTTTCAAGATTCTTACCTTCTTCTCCATTTCCTTTAAAAGTCATGAAAATGGCCAGTTAGTCTGAGCAAACATTTATCTGCCTAAAAACAGAATTAAAAATAATTTCACTCACTATTTTGACTGTATACATTATAAAATTAGAATGCAACATGATTTATGACACCACACTAATTTTGAAGTCTTTTTTAAAAATGTGCTTCATTTTTATTTAAAAATAGTTTATTATTTGCTCCTAGCCTGCACTACTATCCTCAGGCCTCTTGGGGAGTACCACTTCTGGTCCTGGCCCCGCCCTCACCTCTCTCTGCTTCCCTGGGCCTGCACCACCGGCTAACTCTCCTAGCCTGCACTACTATCCT